GATGCCATCTTTGTTGTTGTCTGCCGATTGACTAAGCATGCTCACTTCCTCCCCTGCAAGTATGCTAGTTCAGCCAAAGACATCGCCACTCTGTACTTTAACCGTATTGCCATTCATCATGGTCTCCCCACTAGCATTGTCTCTGATCGCGATCCYCGCTTCACTTCTCATTTCTGGCGTGGACTCCATGAGACTTATGGATCTGAGCTTCGCCTTTCCTCCTCCTACCACCCYCAGTCAGACGGACAGACTGAGGTCACCAACAAAACTCTTGGGACTATCCTCAAGAAGTTTGTTGAGAATGACTCTGATTGGGATCTTCATCTTGCTCATGCAGAGATCGCTTATAACCACGCTATTTCTCCCGCCACCGGCATGTCCCCCTRCTACTGTGACYTGGGATATCACCCCCGTGTCCCATCTGATCTCCTCCGTCCATCTCAAATTCACCCTGACACCAAATGCCCAGCTCTCGATGAGTGGGTAAAGGAGATGGATGCACTCCTTAGCAAGGCTCGAGAGAGCATTGCTCACTCCCAGACTCGCATGGCGACCCGTGCCAACCGCTCACGCATTGACCATCCCTTCAAAGTTGGCGACGAGGTCCTTGTCGACGCACGTCACTTCCAGCCCGAAGCCGACACGCTTCGGAAATTCAGACGTCGATATATCGGACCATGCACCATTCTCGCACCCGCCGGACCCAACCATGACTGTCCAGTGAGCTTCAAATTGAAGCTCCCCGATTCCATGTATCGCGCTAACCTACATGATGTGTTTCATGTATCTCTTTTGCGCCCTTTCAGACAAACTCCTCTTGAGTTTCACGGCCGACCTTACCCTCGCCCTTCTCCCATCATCATTGAAGGTCACGAGGAGTTTGTCGTCTCTGATATTGCGTCTCGGCGTATGACTGATGGTGATCCTCCCCGCCTCGAGTATCTCGTTCGATGGAAGGGTTACCCTGACGAGGAGTCTACGTGGGAGCCTCTTGAGCACCTAAAGCATGCTATGACTTTTGTGCGTGCTTACGACCGTGCTCACCCTTTCCCCTCATCATCATCCCCCCCCACTTCTCGTCCTTCTACTGACCCATCTACTTCAGCGACCACTAACACCCCCCCTCCTCCACCGATGGGTCCTCCTGCTCCACCGGTACCTGCCTCAGGTCCTCCTTCCCCTGTGGATGTGGTTCCGCCTGTTGTTGCAGTTGAGTCCTCTCGCCCTCAGCGTACCCATCGACTTCCTTCTCGATATCGTGACTGACCTTACCCCCCATATGCCCTCTATCGCTTACCATTCCTGGACACTTATGCAGCAGCTCCCGGTTTCGGCCTCTACATTCGGCTTCCACATTTAGCTTCTACATTCGACTTTCGACCTCAGTGCTTTTGTCCAGTACCAAAGTACATGTCGCATTGTTCCGGACGTCTACTTGGTTTTCAGCATTACTCCTACTTCATCCTGGCTACTTCGATTCGATTTCAGTCTGGAGACTCATCAGTTGGACTACTTCACTTCTTCGGCTACAGAGTTCTCATCATCCCCCTGTATCCTTACCCTCCAGTCGCATGATGACCMCTGTTTCCCCTGTCTATGTGGGTGTGTCCGCTTGCCGCCCTTCTGTCGTACCTTATGCTGCGCGCCCTCCTCTGGAGTGTACGTTTTCTTTGCTCGCGGCTCTTGGGCCACATGCYTATGCCGGCATAGCCCTCTCTCCTGCCAGGCTCACCTTATGCGTGCTCCCTTGTGTGAGTGTCRTTCCCCTTTCAGCTGGCGGTGCCCGTTTGATGGTTTCYATTGAGCCCGGTGTCGTGCTGYTGCTCCCTCCCTGMGCCTGATGTCCCCTACCTGGTTGTGTGGGTGCCCCCTTGGAGTTTACTCTAAGAGCTKTACCTACCGCCTTCCCACCTATTCCTACCTTTGCCATGCGACTGAGTTCCTTCCTCTTCTGTTCAGGCATTGTGCATTGTGCACAGGGCACGTGAGATTGTGCCACATTCTTTTCGACATAGGACATTGGCTTAGCTATTCTTTGGCCTTTAGGGCCCTGATGTTGATTTATATTCAGCCTACTTGGCTCATGAGACATTTTTCTCTTTCTTGGCCGACACAGGTCAGACATTTTTCTGCTTTTTAAGTCGACTCAGACCAGACATTGTTGTATAGATTAGGCTTGAGGCTTAGTCCGCATTGCATCCCTTTTTCCTGCATGGAGCTTGCTCCGCATTTAGGATTGTTTTTCTTTGGCCGATCCTTTTGGGTTCCCGCTCTTTCAGCGGATAGCGTGTTTTGATGTATCTTTGGATCCATTTACAGGTCCGAGGATCGTGGAGCGGTATCCCTCCGGCCCGGCAGTGAGGCCGGACCAGTTTCAGGCCGCCGGCCTGACCCTGGTCCGGTACCAGGTGATTCCGCTACTGGACCCAGGCCGGTATATCACTTCGGCCTAGGTCCAGGGCGGCAGGTTCAGTCATTCAGTTGTTCATTCTTTCGTGGAGCCGGACTGGACTTTCACTCAGCTGCTGCTTTTCGTGTATGTCCATTTCCTCTCTCTCTCCTTCTCTCACACCATCTCCACACGTGCCTCCTGCACGTCCGTCACAACAGCCCCTTTTTTTGTGCCACTACGCAGATTCAAGTCTGCGCTTCATCAACTTCGAAACACCTCCGCTCACTGGAATCAGAGACCCTGCCAGTGGGTTGATAGACCAATGAGTCGCTACCTCCCTTTTTGTACTTCCATGGCGAAAAGTTCCAAGTGGCCACCGTCCCTGAACAGATGCCGGACTCTTAGACTCGAGCTTTTGTTTTGTTCAAAAAAAAAAAAAAAAAAAAAAAAAAAAAAAAAAAAACAACGATCGCAATGTCACTTTCCACGACTGCAGGTATAACCTCAGCAAAAGTCCAGTTGCCGTCCTGATTGATCCGAATTTAGGGCAACCTCGTTCCAGCCTACAAGAAGCGTTATCCGATCCCCTGTGGGGCCTGACCTACAACATCTCCTTTCCCGACGCTAGGCACCCATCCCACGCACACGAAGCAACTGGTACCAGACATGGTGATGAACCACTGGTTCAATACCTGACCAATTAATTTATGGGGGCCTTGACCAATTAATTTATGTGGCCCCCCTGCTCTTAGGCATTGTGGATATGGTGAGATGCCAAAGCCGACTTGGAATACCAACCACATGACTTTGATATCTCATCACGGAATGGCATTCTTAGAAGCTCTCTGCCAGTCGTTGTCCAGGCGTGCAGACATGGCGAGGTGAGTATTCGATAGACATGGGACCGGTGGCAGTAAAAGTATATCATCCTCTTGTCCATCACACAGAGGATGAAGGGCGCTACAGTCGTACGTGTCTGATCGGGTGGCTAGCGTCCAACATAGTGACAGTGCTTGTTGCAGCGGTGGGAAGGTGGGTCCGCGGTTGCGTGATTTGGATGCAATCGGGGTTCAGAAAAGAAACTTCAGGAAAGGCAGGAATATTGCAGTTTGCCTTGGTCTCCTTACCTTCTTCCCCCGAATACAACGTACGGTCATTATAGCTGTATGTAGACTGAAATATGCCTCAAATACAGCTGTAATGACCGTACGCTGTATTCCAGGGAAGAAGGTAGCCCAGTTCTAGTAAATCTTCTTCTACAGTCCTGCATTACCAAAATCAAAAGCAAAAGCAAAACCAAAAGCAAGAGCAAAAGCAAAAGCGAAAGCAGCAGTGGGTCCCGCTCGAAACCCAGTGGGGAAATCGCAGAGCTCACGTGTTGAGCCAACACTGGCGGAGGACCTACCAAATTCGTTTCCGGGTGGCTGGAGCACGCCGCAGGTGGCCAAAATGAATTTGAGGAGCCGCTCGCAGTACCCTGTCACCAAATCAACCTCTTTTCCACCTAGACGAGTAGATCCAAAATTGAAACAGCTTTAACTTAGAATCTTCCATGGACAGGAAAAAAAAAAAAAAGAATCTTCCATGGCGGACAAAACCTTTATAATGCTGTAATGGCCCGCCAAAACACAGACTGAGAACACTGCTGATTTCTGGGTTTTGCCGCTGGAACGTATGCCTTGCTGAGATTCCCGCAATCTGCTGAGTTTTCTAACTCCGTGTGTGTGCGTGCCTGCTGGTCTGGGTGCCTGTCTGAGTGCTTGCCGGCCTGAGCGTGTGTGTGACCCGCAAGGGTACTTGTTCATTTGGAGGCCCTGAAGGGCCGGTACTTACCTGCGCCCGTGACTTTAAGAGGGTTGCAGCGGGGAAAAACACTCAAGTAGCCGGGGTAGACCCACGACACTTAGAACAGCGGAGGAAAATATCATGCGTTGATAATGATACAGAAAGAAGACCATGCCAGATTATCAAACACCGAGAGAACTAAACCACAAAAATGATCACTGAAGAAGAAACACAAAAAATAATATTTTGCCAATGACATATTCAAAGCCGCCTTCTATCAACTATTCTCTCTCTCTCTCTCTCTCTCTCTCTCTCTCTCTCTCTCTCTCTCTCTCTCTCTCTCTCTCTCTCTCTCTCTCTCTCTCTCTCCCTCTGGAATTGTCCCTCCAATGGCTTATTCACAGATGCGAGAGTCTCTCTTTCCTCTATTGCACTGCTCGTCGCCTCCCCGCTCCACCCCCATGCATGCCCGCACCTCCTGGCCTTTGAACACTTCTTTCTGCTCCCTGTTGTTGTTGTTGCTGCTGCTGCTCCAGAGTAGCAGTTGCTTGGGCCATAACATTCATGAAGACAAGCACGCCAGGCACAATATACATCCACTGCCACAATTCCTGCAATGTTAGTATCTTCTCTTCAACCCTCCCCCTCCCATTCGTTCACTGAAAGATCACACGACCGCAAAGGCAGGATCACATCCCAAGTAACATGCATGAAGACAAATGATTTATGTTTAAAGATACACTGATACAGTGGTTCCTCCTTAGTCACCGTTCTTCTTCTTCGATGGAGACCTACGTCACAACATTCTTCTCTCCTCGACATTCATGTACCTCCATACTCCTTGGACTTCATTCACCTTTCTAAGCACAACTAGAAATTCTAGTCATTCTCTTTGCAGGAGGAGCTGTGTGGCATGACAGAGATCAACCCCTCTTTTTTTTCAAAAAGGGAGTAGTCCCAAACATTATTGTGCCTATCTGATTTCATCAGGATCCCAATCCGCAACCCATTCTTTAATTACAATTACATGTCTACACCATTCACACACACACACACACACACACACACACACACACACACACACACACACACACACACACCTACTGGTCGAAAACAAAACTATTCACAGGAAGCACATCAAGCAAATTGCAATCACACCCATGTTGTCTTTCAGACTCCTGCGCCCCAGTACACAGAAAGTGGCTTTTTTTGTTTTGTTTTTTTATGCAAGCTTTTTTTTTTTTTTTTTTCGACAAAGAACAAAGTGATTTCAGAAAAAAAAAAGAAAAAAAGACAAAGCCTAGCTCAGTTGATACACCCATGAACTGTTGAAATACAGAACTGAGGTCAAATCCAGATGGAACCAGATGAATGAAATGAACTGACTCTGAACTACCTGGGGCCAGCTAGTTCAAAAATGATGGCACAAGATCATGTTTTGAGGGCTCCAGTTCTTTCGAAGCCTGGCACCTGTGCCGCTCTGACAGCCAGTCGCGCCGTTTTGAGGGGAAAAGGTCTGTCGTTTCTTATTTTTTGCTTAATTCATTTTTTCCTCTTGTGTGTACATTCACGAATGTATCAACATGTACAATGCAGTCCCGATACGCGTATCGACAACGAGTAGTGGAGGACACTACCATAGTCCAGAAAACAAAGGTGCAAATACTGAGAATGAATCTTCCACTACCCCACGGACACATACACACAAGAGTAGCATGGCCCTCCGCAAGGACAAGACCCCCACCCGCGCCGTCAACAGCTCTCGTGGCAGTCGCGACGGCCAATAGGGGAAAAAACAAGAAGACAAACGGGAAAAATAAAAGAACAATGGGAAAAAATAAGACAAAGGGAAAAGAGAAAAAAAAAATAAAAAATTTTGAACTGTTGAAAAGAGCGTAGCTCAGTGGGGACCACACCCATGAACTGTTGAAATACAGACGACCCGTGTTCGAACCCAGATGATGGAACTTGATGAGTAAAAACCAAATATTCTGAATTGCCTGGGGCCGGTTAGCTCAATGACGATATCTGAAGACCGTCGCCCTTTTTAAAAAAAGGAAAGAGAAAAAGAAAGAAAGAAAAAAAAACACACCAGCATACAACTACCGGTCGCTCCCTTGGACGACCGGCTACCCACTGAATCTGTACATCTCACAAGTTGCATTCCGAGGTTCGTTAGCTTCTAAACAAGAACGCTCGGGAAGACTAGTTGTGAGTCTGTCCGAAAAGTTAGGGGCGGAACCGAGGTTCCGGGCTACTGGTACTGGTGGTTTAAACTTTAAACGGTCCCAGTACACCACCCAGGCAAACTCGAGAAAAGAAAATGAGTCTCTCCGAAAAGTTGGGGGCTGGCGGTGCCAGACAAAGGCGAAAAAAAAAACCGCCGAGCTGGCGTTTCGGCAAAGCTTGCCACGCAGGGGGAATCTGCCTCGGCAAAACGAGGCTCAGATGTACTGGCGGTTTAACATGCGCATCCGAAGGCCAGCAGCACAACACGGGAAGGAAGTCAGGTGCGAAGTGCAATCCAAGCAGACAACTAGCCAACAGTGAGACCGGAAGGGGGAAATCCCAAACTTACGTATCTGGCAAAGAACGATTTCTCCTCCTTCTTCTTAGGTCGCTCTCCCTCTTGAGTGTCTGCCATAGGATCTCCTTCCGCAGTAACCAATGGCCTACAAAATTTGATGGCATCGCCCAGAGAAAAATGTGCATAAGTCCACAAAAAACAAGAGATATCTGTTGGAGTTTTGATAAGCAACTAGAAAAAGTGAAAGCGACAGGCTGCAGACAGAAACAGAGATCTTAACAGACGATGACACACATGAAAACAGACAGGCGTGCAGACCGACAGACACAGATGCTATGCACATTGTAAACACAGCGATGTGACCAAAAGTTGGACGATGGATGTGACGGTGCGCACACAGAGGCTGCACTTTTTCAGCAGTGGTCCCCCTGCACCCGTTCTGATACGTTAATGACGTTAGTGCCCATGGAGGACAATTGAGGCCTCGCCCAAACTGGTGGTTGAATCCACATACCCTCAAATGCTGACAGTGCAGACAGCGAATGCACACTTGCGTAAGAAATCCCGGCAAAGGAATGTTGGGAAACATGCAATGTAAAACAGCAAGAGAGACCAAGTACAGTGAAACGACTGCAGATGGAGAAATACGAATTCCATGCACAAACACGTTTTCTCAGTTCAACTCATTCATCAGCTGGGCTGCAAAGCTAGTACCCAGACAGAATAACGAGATGTCCAACAACATGCATGCAAAAGTCCGCCGTTATACTCTCAAGAGGCCAACATTAGCCATCAAAAGCATCAAACAAAGCATCATTTTGGTAATTTAAGACTCGCTCCGCTCTGGCATCCACTGGTTCACAGAGTGCAGTAAGAGAGGATGTGTTGGGAGCAGACTGCACGGTTCTGCACCAAAGAAAGTGGACCAACAATCCATTCATTCTACCGCACGGACAAGCCGATCGGCACCACAACAGTCATTCAAAGCACAAGAGAATCAACCAACGGAGATGCATCATGGCATCCATCTTTATGTAATGACAATGCAAGGAGACAAGTAGGGAACAGATTGGCTGGTTCTGGACTGAACGCACTAAGATTCACAATGCATTCCATGTCACCGAGGCCAAGACAACAGGCACCACAGAGAGCCTACGAAGGAGCATGCTCTCTTTCCATTGCTTGCAAGCGTGAAAAACTGGTGCGCGCTTTGTCTCCTCTAAGTCCTCTTTGTATTCCTCAAGCTGAATTTTGGAGGAGCTTTTTTTTGGTCCTTTCCTCTAGGTTCTGCAAGTTGACTCACAATCCAAGTGTTCATTCATAACTCGATACTTATTGGCCCGTGCTGCACTACGCTCCAAATGTGCAAAGAGAAAATGAAGCTTCCGCTAGAACATGGAAAGATACACCGCCATGATTTTTGTAGTGTGTGCATGTCAAGAGTAATGGGGCGAGGTCCATTATTATACGTCTTCAGGGGTGAGTCACTAGAGAATCCCTTGCAATCATACTTCAGCTTGTCACTGGAGCAAGGAAACATTTGACATCAACTAGAAGTCTAGAACTACTGTCTTCATCCGGTTAGAACGCCCGGTAAGTATCGCTGCAAATACGGCTGTAATGTTCTAATAGGGTGAAGACGGTAGGCCAGTATCCCAGCAGGCCGGCACAAAGCCAGGCTAGTGCCGCTTATCAACACAACAAGGTAAGATCAAGCAGACGGTAAAGAACATGAACAGCACTGACAATATCACAATTTCCCTGGGAGCTGTGGCATATTCTATGATTGTTGAAGATGTGGTCCCACAGCACAGCACAGCACAGCACAGCACAGCACAGCACAGCACAGCACAGCACAGCACAGCACGGCCTCTACCTAGAGTTCTTTGTCAGATTACATCACGGGCAAAAGCACGTAAGCGACGGCACATGGGCCAGATTCAAATCTTACCCAGTAGCTGTTGTCCACGGCTTGAGAACAGCTTTGCTGCTGAACCTCCATGACTTTGGCTGCAAAATCCACAAACATCAAAGCACTCAGCGATAAAGTACCTCATGAACCAGATTCGACGTATACCCGGTAGGCTGTAGCTGCTGTCCAGGGCCCCAAAACTGCTTGGGCTGCAACATCCACAAGCATCCAAAGACTTGGCAATGAGCACCGCAAGTCGTCTGAAAAGCAACGCGCACCACAAGTCGTCTGAAAACTGAGTTCATACCCAGGGTTCTTCCATGGTGGCTAACAGGAAAGGCCGCCGGACACTAGGTAGTTGTGTCTATTTGGCTGCACCCCTACCCCAAACACCACATTTTGCTTCACAGAAGGCTCCAACTGTCACTGCCAGCATGCGACCCATTCTTCACGGTCGCTTCACTGAAGGTGGAGTGTGGGTAGACAGACACCATCAACAGGCCACCATGGCCCATTGTGGACCTCATCATTTTACAGCAGTCCCAGTTTTAGCCCCTTTCTTTCAGCTCCCCTGTGTCCCCTCTCCCATCCATTGTGGCACCCCAGTGGGCCATTGCTTAGTGCCCATGCTGGCTGTGTTGTACATCTTTCAGACATGTACATCATTACTCTATAGCAATCCGCTTTTTGGCCATTTTCTTTTGGCTTCCCTGTGACCCCYCCCCCCCCCCCTCCCTTCCCCACACTACCCAACCCACCAAATAGGACCGGAATGGGATGGCAAAATGAGTGACTGAAGTAATTGCTCACTGGTGTGTGAGGCCCACAGATGATTACGAGTTATTTATGGGATTGCCCCTTAGTGCAGATTGTGGATCCCATTCCTAGACTTTTCTCCTCTGCTCATCCCAGTATCACAATCCTCTGAAAAATGTCAGTCCGCCCAAGCATATGTTTTTTCAACTGCAAGATCTTTACTGTCTTTTTGTTATGGCTACCATCTCACTAACGACCCAGACATCACGAAGGATGATACTGTGTTGCAGGAACCGGAGGTGTCATTTTCGGCGAATTTTCCACCGAAGCTGTCATATCGTGCTGATTTTTTGCATTTTTCCCTGTTTTCCTTTTTGTGTGATATGTATGTGCTTTAGGGTACATCCAGTTGAGACATATTGGATCAATATAATGAAAAAGTTGGCATTTCGTTGAATTCGTTGGACGCTTCATTTTAGCTCGGAAAGTGTTTTTGTGATAGGGTTTTATGGTGCGTTCTTTTTTCTTTTTTTTTTTCGTTTTCTTTGCCCTGTTTTTTTCTTTTCTTTTTTTTTAATGTTTGCAGTACGGGCCCATATCGTTTGTTTCTGGAATTTTTGCACCAAAATTGTAGGCGAAAACGTCGAATTTTTAGCCCTCAGTTAGCCATCTCTCTATCTGACAGTTACTCACATATGCTGACATTCCTGTCTGGCCGCCCTCCGGTTGCTCGACTCACCCAGGGTTTGACTGCAGACTTGTGGATGGTGGGTCATCATATTTCCTGTTCAGTGCATTTGCTCCTCGTCGTATGACATGATCGATTCAATTACAATTACAATTACAATAAACTACTCTCTCATATTACTGTATCCTACTCACTCCCATTGTCCTGCACTTCCCTTCGTATAGTGTATAGTACTGCATATAAGTCCCCATTTGGTTCAGCGTCATAAAGACACCACAGTTGCAGGGCTGTCAGCAGCATTGCTCTGTGTCTCCCTTGTACGGTGCACGTGAGTCCCCCTTTACCTCACATTACTCTGTGTCAAAAAACTTACTCCTTTGCTTGTGTTTTTGTTATCATTCACTTAATTTCTGCATCTCTGAGTACATTACCTTCAGAGGATCCAACTATATCGAGAAATGGTGCAGCCTCTATGCTTGCCATGAAGAAGAGAGACAGAAAGCAATATCTCCTTCTAATTTTTCAGGGAAGTTCACCCTCGCTTCCGCCAAACCCACCCAATACTTGAACCGCCGCTCCCCCCGACAGCCCCAGCCGTTCGCAACCAGTATACAAGGGGACTGTGAGGCAGTTCGATAACGCCCCAGCAGACACTCAGTGGAAGGACTCAAAAAGAGGAAAAAAATAAAAAGCCCGAAGCCTCCAAGCTCAACCACTGGATTGCGATGACGGACAACCGCTCAGGTCAGACGCCCAAGGTTTATCTTCATCGCCCACGGGTTTTTCATAGCTTCCCCATGTTCAGCAAGTCCAGATTCAGGCAAAGAAGAGCTGCGAACAAAATAGGTTCAGAGGCATCGGTGGCTTAACAACTCTGCTGCTTCCAACTCATTGGAAGAGCATACCATTCTCCACGTTGCCACAACAGCAAGCCTCTTCTTTCCTCCTCTTTTAATGCACCCTTTCCCATGCACACATAATCACATGATGCAGATACCTCCCCATCACTGCTCTCCACGAGTCCAGGAGTTGTTCCCTGCCAATGCTCATCGGCAAGACGAGTGCTACACAAGGAAAAGCAAACCTTGGCCTTTCTCGATTGGAGACACGACGGGTGCTGCCATCGCGTAGTAAGAGCTGTGAGCATAACTCAATGAGCAACACTTGGGAGCCGCAGAATAACAAAAAAAAGAAAAGAAGGTCAAATGAACCACTCAGTGTCAAACACTGCAAAAGCACAAAAACTGTAAAAACACAAACGACGCTAAGTGTGCGCAATGGGGATGGGGGAGGAGGGAGTTGTGCTGGCTTACTTTCACAGAAGAGAGAGGATGGCAAGCACCATCTGGCAGCAAGTAGTTCACCGCCACCACGTTCCCCGTATAGTCCTGCATATCACCGAAGCAACAAAATGGAATAATCAAGGCGTATCAGCAAGATCCTGAGAGCTGAGTTCTGAAAAGTTTGTGCGTGATCAGGGTTGCATCACCAAGGTTCGGAAAACCCTCACTGGTCAGCTACTACCAGCCAACAGATCATGCAATCGGTGTGCAACTAGTTGAGGGGTTGTTGGCCTCCACGATAAGCAACAAGGCATGCTTTGGGGAAGGGATTGACAACACTGCTTTCCAAACAGTGTCAAACAAGCAGTGACAACACTGCTTGGTGTTCCGATAACAACTGTTACATGCCCAGTTGGGCGATGTACATAAATAGCCGAGGATCCGCAATGTGACGAAAAGGACTGAATGGACAATGCAGTGCAAGTGAAATCTCAACAAGCAGTGTACATCTGGATACATACAAAAATGGTGCTTTATAGCGCAGTGGAAGACTTAGATACAACTCCTGACCTGACCGGGACTGACCTCTCTAACGTAGTACAAGACAGCGCAGCAGAATGCTAGAATACCAATGACTAGCCCAATCAATGTCGCAGTACAGACCAAACATACATCATCCTCATCACAAGGTGTGAAGGGGCCTGGCGCTACACACAGGAAGAATGCGCCAGGTCCAGTCCATACACAGACGAAGAGGAGGGGAGCAGACGAAGTCTTCGTTACAAGTCCCAGATAATCCCTCGTCAAATGCCTGACGCCCAATGTCGAGTCTGGATCCAAATGTCACCAAGCCCGCTCTCTCATAGTCTGCTGATGCAGTGAAGTCAGGTAGCGAGAGGGTGAGAGGGAGATGGTGGACTGAGAAGAGGAAGAAGAAGAACTCTCTCTCTCTCATGTGCCAGGTACTAACCTGTGAAGATGGCGCCGTGCTGCAGGTACCTCGAAGGCGAAGCTGGAGCTATGGCGCTGCAGGTAAGTCTCCCTGGCCTCCGCCCAATCTCTCTCTCTCTAGTACTACTCTAGCTCCTAATAGCGCCCAGTGCTGAAGACTACTGCTAACACTACTAGCACTGAAGACTACTGTGTTACATGCCCGGTTGGGCGATGAACATAGAAACCGAGGATCCGCAATGTGATGAAAAGGACTGAATGGACCATGCAGTGCAAGTAGAATCTCAACAAGCAATGTGCATTCTAATACATACAAAATGGTGCTGAATAGCGCAGGGAAGACTTAGATACAAAGCCTGACCTGACCGGGACTGACCTCATTCACATAGTAWCARATAGCGAAWCAGAATGCTAGAATGCTAATGACTAGCCCAATCAATGTTTGAACACAGACCAAACATACATCGTATCCATCACCAGGTGTGAAGGAGCCTGGCGCTGTCCACAGGAAGAAAGCGCCAGGTCCAGTTATACACAGACGAAGAGGAGGGAATCAGACGAAAGGAGGGAGAGAGATGGGAATGTCGTCAACACCAAGTCTTTGTCACAAGTCCCAAATAATCCCTTGTTGCAATGTCTGAAGTCCAAAAGTCGAGTCTGGATCAGATGTCACCAAGCTCTTTCTCTCTTCTCTCGTAGTCTGCAGATGCAGTGAAGTCAGATGATGAGAGGGGGAGAAGGAGATGGTGGACTGAGAAGAGGAAGAAGAAGAACTCTCTCTCTCTCTGTTACGAGCCAGATACTAACCTGTGATGTTGGCGCTGTGCTGCAGGTACCTCGAAGACGAAGCTGGAGCAACGGCGCTGCAGGTAAGTACCTCTGGCCTCCGCCCAATCTCTCTCTCTCTCTCTCTCTAGTGCTATCCTAGCTATGGCGCCCAGCGTTGGAGACTACAGCTACCTACTGCGCCCAGCGCTGAAGACTAAGGCTAACGCTACTACTACTCCTGCAGCGCTCCCTCCAGAGTGCTGCTGCCGAATCCTGAAGACTACTACTGCCTCCTGCCTACCCGTGAAGTCCCTATGTACTACCTCGGCCTGCCTCCTGACTGCCTGAAGGGCGAGCCAGGCCGAGGAGGCTGCTCTTGCCAATGCCGAAGTGTGCCAGGGGCTGGCGTTGCAGCAGCTGCTGAGGCTGGCGTGGGGAACAGGCTAAGAATAGCCTGTTCCCGAAACCCTGGTTCGGTGCCTGAGTTTCAGGGCCGGTCGTTCTGATGRACGACCGAAAATGGCCCTTCGTTTCAGGCTAAAAAGGCTGTTGCCTTTTTAGTCTGAAACGACACAGGGACTGTAGACCCCTGTTTTCAAGCTTTCGGGCTGAACAGTCACGGGGCCTGTAGGCCATGGTTTTCAGGCTTTTAGCCTGAGGGACGCAGGGCCTGGAAAATGGCCCTCGTGTGCAGGCGCAGCATGTAACAACTGCTAGCGCTACTACTACTCCTGCAGCGCTCCTCCAGAGTGCTGCTGCCGAAACCTGAAGACTACCTCCTGCCTCCTGAACTGCACGTGAAGTGCCTGGGAAGTACCAAGGAACTACCTGCAGCCTGCAGGGCGGGCCAGTCTTATATAGTGCTGGCCCGTCCAGGAGGCTGCTCTTGCCAATGCCAAAACGTGCCAGACCCTGGGGTTGAAGCTCAAACAAAGGTTGTCTTGAAAATAGGCCAAAAATGGCCTGAGCTAAAACCCTGGTCTGGTGCCTTAGTTTCAGGGCAGGTCGATCTTATGAGGGCCGGAAAATGGCCCTCCGTTTCAGGCTGAAAAGACTCAGGGCCAGAAAGGCCCTGTTTTAGGCTGAAACGACACAGGGCCTGTAGGCCCTTGTTTTCAGGCTTTCGGGCTGAAAACAACACGGGCCTGAAAATGGCCCGTGCAGCCTGTTGCAGGCGCAGCATGTAACACGCAGTTCCAAATTTTTAACATTTTGGCTCTCAGACGTAGAAGGTGTGGCTCTCTGAAAGAACCTCAAGACTTTACTGATGACCTTTGGACCTCCCACCGTGTGCAGCATACCTTAAATCCCTGCTGACTTGCCATCCGGTTATTTAAGCCCCCCCTCCTAGCTCAGAGTCACTCCCTAACTTGTACTTCTACTAGTCAGTCCCTGCCAGTTAGAAGAGAGAACAGCCACACTACAGTCCTTGCAAAAGACAACCAAAAGCAGAACACAACAGATACCAAAAGAGAAGAGGTGAGGAGAAGGCAGCAGCCTGCATTTTTCAACCAAAAAAAAAGAGGTGTAGATATGTGTGTGTGCGATAGGTTCGGGGAGCAAGGAGCGAAGACAATTCAATGCATGCCAGGAGTGAAAGCGTGGGGCTCTGGCTGGATGAACAAGTGGAAAAGAAATGGGAAGGACATCATCATACCACAACAAACTCAAAGCGTTCTTGGAAACCCGCAGCTGCCAAACACCGCTGCCACCACAAAACAAGGTCATAAGGCCATCCATCAATCCAGATCAGCCCATGAAAATGTGTTCAATGATGCATTGTATCACCTGCTAATACTGGAAGTGACAACGAAAGCCGAAAAGCTGTAATTAGCACAGACCAAACAAATAGAGGTAACCTATGCATGGTCATTCTTCGTTCACAGACTGGTTTTCATCAGAAGTTTATGAACTGTTGTGATATCTTTCTGATCTGGAATTGATGACAGTTGTCCACATAACAACAAGCAGCTGCAAACATTAGGAGCCTTCTCTGTCCTCTATACCCATTACTTTCTCCACTGACACAGTGTTTAAGTACAGAGGCTCGTGCGTTGCCAGGCTTCCGATAAGAAAACTATCGATGAGGTCTCATGCTTGTCACCCTTTTTCTGTTTCCAGTCTCCACTGATACAATCCATGAGAATGTGATGTAAGATGCTGAACTGACTCAGGTGCAATCTGCAACCATCACAGCTCACAGGTTCCAAGCAACCCGCACTTGACCTACGAGGGCGGCAGGGCAAGCAACCCACAGCGAACCCTGCACCAGCTACGATATCCTCTCCCAGAGTTGTCTTCAGTTTCCTTTTCACTGTTTAAACTGCCAGTACGTTTCACAGGAAAGGTTTCCAACGCCGCATTGGTATACCACCACAATTGTCCGATGAACCATGCAATTGGGCCAAAAGCCAGAATGGCTGGCGCCGCCAGCCAAAACCAAAAAAGAAAACACGCCTGCACGGGTTCTTTTTTTTTTTTTTCATGTACCCATCAGCACCACCTTTCGGGGTTTCCAGCACACAGGGGGAATCTGCGTCGGGAAAAAGCAGCAGCACGGAGGTACTGGTGGACAAGTTCCTGTTCAGATTTCTGCTACATCCCAAGCCTTTCACCCCTCAGTCACACTTAAGGGTGAGGTCACTACATTGGAGGAGAAGGAGGGGGCCCTTCTGATGATATAAGAGGGTGAGGATTGCAAGTCCATCTGCAGACAGTCGCGGATGATCGTGCAAGGCAAGCAGTTCTTCCAGGGGCCCAAAAGCTGCAGTTTTCAAAAGCCATGCCCTAGAAAAATGAGTATGCCAGCAATTCTGTGCCTCGATAATCAGTAAATACCGCTAAACAGCCTAAACTAGTAAAAAATATCTCCAATCAAAATAGACACAGTGCCAGTGGGTAGCTTATGACTCACCGAACCATGGGAGTGTGCCAGTTGCTGGTTCATACGCAACTGGCACCAGCGTAAGCATAAATGACTGACCGCTGAGGTACATAACCTGCGTGCGGCCAGAACCACCGGTTTAGGAAAAAGCCGGCTCCGAAATATATAGGAGCCTGCAGGTCAGGGGGATCATTCATCCATCAGCAGGATTTGCAGGTTACTGAATACTGTGAAATCACGCCACATGCTGCTGCAGGACAATCCGGAGAGAACTCCGAAAACTACAAAACTTCAAAAGGCCATATACAACTTGGCAATAAGAACATCATACCGCCTTCACATAGGACATCACAGTCTCGTTCCCGCGCTTCCAGAAGTTGGTCGGCACACGAATGCGATAGACACCATCAGACTCCAGTAGTTCCTGCAACGACCACCATTCAAGGCAAGCTCATTAAAACATCAGCATGGATAGATGTTCGCTAATTTCGGAAATAATAGTGAGCAATAAAATAAGCTCTCAAAAACGGACAAGTAGATGTCGTTCCCAAAAGGTCGCTGCCTAAGGTTAAGGTCCTTTTGTCAGTGAAACGATGATATGCAGCAGGTTGCAGGCGATGCAGGGAATGGGAGGGAATGGGAGGGAAGAGGACGATAAAGGGATTGAAGGGAGCGAGGGGATGCAGATGCTAGACGGGAAGGAGGGGATCGAGGGGATGGAAGGGCTGGAGGGGATGTGGAGAAGGTAAAGACGACGAAGGAGGGGACAGAGGGGATAGAGGGGGAGGAGATGGAGGGGATGGAGGCGGTCGAGGGAATGAAAGGGGTGGGGATGGAGGGGTAGAGGGGATAGAGGGAATAGCGGGGATAGAGGGAATAGAGAGGATAAACGGGATAGAGGGAATACAGGGGATAGAGGGGATAGAGGGGATAGAGGGGATAGAGAGGGTAGAGAGGGTAGAGAGGGTAGAGAGGATGGAAGGGATGGAGAGGAGGAGAGGAGATGGAGAAGAGGGCGGGAATGGGAGGATGGATGGAAAGGAAGGATGGAAAGGATGGAGGGAACAATTGGAGGGAGTGGAAAGGAATTAGGGGATGGGAGAGAAAGAGAACATACAAGGTTGTTCCGAGGCCATTAGTAAGTTTAATATGACAAAAAACAACAGATCAAGAAGAAACATCTTCAGTGGTGTGATCGTTGAAATCCAAACGGCAAAGAGTGAGTGAGTAAGGGATAGAAACCCTGCCAAAAGTTCGCAAGAAATCTCATTCTGCTTCTTCCTATTTGACAGCAACTTGACCAAAGTCCGGTCTGCAGAGGCAATACTAACCACACCCGAGTTAATATTCCACAGTCACACCCAGAGACGGCGAATTCCAATCGCCGCTCGCAAGGAAGTCTTGAACACGCCAGAGACCATCAAAGTGGGAGGGCACATTGCCACTCGTGATCACAAGCAAGCAAAATCCAAGATTGCGAATGATCTGCTGACCTGCTATATTCCGCTTGTGCCCTGCCTATCAATACGTAGCCATACCCCCCGTCCCCGGATTGCCAGTATAATTTCTGACAAATTTAGCCGCTCCTCTGCCCTTTTCAGAACTTCAACCACACGGTTCAGCAGTGGCAGTAACGTGTTGGCCAGCAATACCGCAGACAATTCTCAAGACTCTCAACAGATCTGACCAAGATTAGGGATTAGGCAGAAAGACCTGATCGAGATTGGGACAGCCAGATCTGAATGAGGTCTGGAACGGAGAGACCTGCCCGAGCAGCATTTAGCATCATCTGATCAGTGTTCGGAGAAGGGCAGCTCACTAGTAAATGTACGTTCGAGCATGAGACACAGTTCAAAAATCGGAGATGTAAGGGAGTGGGGAAAAGGCAAATAAAGAACACGGAAAAAGAGGAGGGGTTTGTGGGTTGTGTTGTGTCACACATGGTTAACGAGGACCCCCCCAGTTTCAGATCCTGACTAACAGGTCCAAAACTGAAATTAGGGTTTGGCGGTCAAATTTTTTGTTTGTTTGTTTTGCCTGGTTTTGTTTTGGTTCAAGGTTGTTGTGTACCAAAATTGGTCTCATTTGGAGCATTGGAATTTCCTCTGCTAAGATTTATGAAATTTCTCAAGATTTCTGAAATTGAATGTTGGCGAAATTTGCATGAAAGTGCACTTTTGCCTTGCTGTTTTATAGGGGGGGGGGGGT